GAAATATCATGAATACATATAAATAGACATATAAGTACATTACTGTGTTACCTGCTTTCAGGATGCTTCTCATTCTACTTACATTGCTACCCCCACTGCTGTTAAGAAAAAAGCCATTGAGACCCCCTATACAGATCTTTAGTTATCACTAGGGGGATCCCCAGCATGACGAAGGAGGTCCTGAGTCCTCTATATAGATCTTTATTATCACTAGTGGGATCCCCAGCAGGAGGAAGGAGGACCTGGTTCCTCTATATAGATCTTTAGTTATCACTAGTGGGATCTCCAGCAGGAGGAAGGAGGACCTGGTTCCTCTATATAGATCTTTAGTCATCACTAGAGGGGTCCCCAGCAAGATGAAGGAGGTCCTGATCCTTCTATATAGATCTTTAGTCATCACTAGAGGGGTCCCCAGCAAGATGAAGGAGGTCCTGATCCTTCTATATAGATCTTTAGTCATCACTAGAGGGGTCCCCAGCAAGATGAAGGAGGTCCTGATTCCTCTATATAGATCTTTAGTCATCACTAGAGGGGTCCCCAGCAAGATGAAGGAGGTCCTGATCCTTCTATATAGATCTTTATTATCACTAGAGGGATCCCCAGCAGGAGGAAGAAGGTCCTGATCCCTCTATATAGATCTTTATTATCACTAGAGAGATCCTCAGCAGGAGGAAGGAGGTCCTGATTCCTCTATATAGATCTTTATTATCACTAGAGGGATCCTAGCAGGAGGAAGAAGGTCCTGATTCTCCAAAATAGATCTTTAGTCATCACTAGAGGGGTCAGAGGGAGTACAGACAAGCTGTGTGTCATCACCCTCCTGAAACTCCAACCAGCAAGCTCAGGGAGTCAGACTGACCACACCAACACAGATCTGTTGCCCTGCTTGGCGTGTACATGCTGATATAAGATGGGAAGGGAAATGGTGGGATAACTGGGTATTTTGCAGGAAAAGACTGAGAGCTGACACCTGAGGCAAGCTTAAGAGGAAAATGTACTAACCCTCCATTGCATATGTTGTAGATAAACTTTAAGACCCCATTCACACTCGAACGATTAGTCACACGTTTCCCAAAGCGTGACAACACTCCCCATGAAACTACCCATTATATTCAATAGAGCTCATTCACACCTGAGCATCGTGCTGCTGCTTGTCGCACAAAAAAATGTACATGAGGTTTTGTGCCCCATAGGCCTCAATCAGAGCACCTACAGAGCTCAACAGGTCTCCTCCTCCTAACATCCCCAGGCAAAATGGAGGCGTTAGAGGTGTCTCTGCTGGATGTGGAGGCTTTCATTGCCTAGTGAGAACCCACAAGGGAGGGCTCTGATGTAAAAGTTGATGTGAAGGGGGGCTCATGATGAGAAGGGGGGCTCCTGATGTGAATGGGTGCTATTGATGTGAAGGGGGGCTCTTGATAGAAGGGGGGATGGGCTGATGTAAAAGGGGGGCTTGTGATGTGAAGGGGGCATCTGATTTGAAGTGGAGGCTCCTGATGTGAAGGGGGGGCTCCTGATAGGAAGGGGGGCACTGATGTGAAGTGGGGGGCTTCTGATATGAAGAGAGGCTCCTGATGGGAAGGGGGGCCCTGATGTGAAGTGGGAACTCGTGATGGGAAGGGGTCATTCCTGATGTAAAAGGAGCCTTCTGATGTGAAGAAGTGGGCTCCTGATGTGAAGCGGGAGCTCCTTATGTAAAGCAAGTCTCCTGATGTGAAGGGGAGCTCCGGATGTGAAGGGTACTCTTGATGTGAAGGGGGAGGCTCTCATGTGAAGGAGGCTCCTGATGGGAAGGGGGGCTCTGATGTAAAGGGAGGCTCCTGATATAAAGTGGGGCTCTTGATGTGAAGGGAGAAAGGGAGGCTCCTGATAAGAAGGGGGGCTTCTGATGGGAAGGGGGCGTTCCTGCTGTAAAAGGAGCCTCCTAATGTGAGGGGGAGCTCTTAATGTGAAGGAGGCGCTCATGATGGGAAGGGGGGGGCCCTGATGTGAAGTGGGGGCTTCTGATGTGCAGGGGGGCTTCTGATGTGAAGGAAGGTTTCTGATGTGAAGGAGGGTTTCTAATGTGACAGGGGGGCTCTGATATGAAGGGGCTCCTGATGTAAAGAGGGTCCCTGATGTGAAGAAGGGGCTCCAAGTGGGAAGGGGGGCTCCTGATATAAATGAAGAATCTGATGTAAAAATTAGGATTTTGATATAAAAAGTTGGTGGGGGGGCGCTTTCCATGATATGAAGGAGCATTACATTTTAAAGTGTGCTGGGGCACTTTACATTGAGAAACTCCAATGTAGACTACAAGCGGCCGTGCCGACACACATTTCACAGACACAGGCCACCACTGTCACTATCAGGAAGCCGTTGCATAGCAGCCGACGCCGGAGCCATTCCATGTAGACAGGAAGTGACTGAAAGAGGAGATCAGCAGAACTGAAAATGCCAAAAATTGTTACAATTGCAATTGTTTCTGCTACCCTTAGCTCACCCAGTCCAGGTTCAGATCCACTTTGATCACTATGATCATCAATAATGAGATACTAAAGAATATAAAACCCTCATAACATACACGATGTAACATTCCTGGAGATTCATTTTCTCCAACATGTCGTTCGTTACCGCTAAATGCAGCGCAATAAAAAAAATGGAAGGGGGGGGGGGG